CAGGCCTGCCTGGCTTCGCAAAATTGCTTTTCTGCGGAAATGGGGAGACCGGGGTTCCCTAGCCCAGGCGCCAGTGGGGAGCGGGAATATGGGATGGGGTGTGGGCGGAGGCGGCGGCGCGGTGGGCTCGAGTCCAGCCGCCTGCGGTGCAGTCGCTGCCGCCGGTGGTAATGGGAGCCAGACGCCGTCGCCGCCGCTGCTAATGCGCCTCCCTCCCGGCCACTAATGGAGCCATTAATGCCGGGGCGCTCGACGCCGGGAGCTCCGATTCCCATCCCCACGGTGCGCATGCGCGCGCCGGCCGCCCCGTGGTCCTGCCGTCCGCGGCCGCCAGGAGGCAGCCTTCTCACAGCTCTTGGTGTGGAGTTTGGGGGGGGCACTATTCCATGAAATCTCCAAGAATCACTCCTGCTACCTCACAAACTCCTCTCCCCTTAATTCATCCTCTTCTTTCCAAGCTAGCCCTCCTTCCTCTCCAGGACAGTATCCCGGGATCTTTGACGCCCAGGTGACTCAGGTGCAACTTTTTCCCTCCCCTCCTCTAAACCCTTTTTTGGCCCTTCAGGGGCTGGCATTCAACCCTGGCCTGGTTGGAGCTGTCCTCTATGGCACCCTTCTGCCAAGCCTAGGCTCCAGTGTCAGCTTCAGCCTCAACTAGGCACTCAGAGGTCATGCACTTTCACCCTCTTGGCCTTTGCTCCCATAGCTGCCTCGGCCTGGATAGCCCTTCCCTTTCTTTCACTACCCTGAAATCCACTCATTCTTCCTGCTTCAGCTCAAATGTCCCCTCCAATGAGAAGCCTTCCTGAACCTCCCTCATCACCTCAAACTGAGCAAGAGTTGTCTCTATCCTCTGGATTCCTCAGACTCTGTACCTCCCTCTGTCATCCTTGCCTGTACCTGCCTGCAGCCACATCTGCCTTCCCCACCCACTTACCCAGGACTGCTCAGCCTGGGCCTGGTGGAAGGATGAGGAGAGACTTCTGGTGGTAGAGATGGGGTTCACTGAGACAAGATAGAAATTCTGGTGGGCAGGATCTGGATTTGGGTAGTCAGGAGACCCTCAGTCCCTCTTTGGGCCTCATTTTCCTCACCTGCCCAAGCAGAGTTTGTGGGCACTGCTTGGTCTCAGAGATAATATGTGTTGGGGTGGACTACATGGGCTCAGTAAATTGGAGCTGGCATCAAATGTGTCTCCTGAAAGGTGGTGGGGGAGAGGGGATATAGGGTGATCTGGGTCATGCCCTTTAGCAGGTGGGTGGGCACAGGAACTGCTTTCCTACTGCTCCCCCACAGCCGGATCTCCTAGCTTGGCCTGCACAGCCCCCGCCTTCCTGCCTGTCTTGGGAACAGGTGCTTGCGTGTAGATAGGTCTGCACATGACTCCTGACACCTCTCAGCAAGGTTTAGGGACAGTAGTAGGCAGTTAATTTGTACCAAGCCTGGACAACCTCCCAATACTCTCCAAGAAGGAAGTAGGGGAACTGGTGCTTAGCAGTGTCAAGGAACAAAGCACCTGATGTGCACGGGGTGGGGGTGGGGGACTAGAATAGAGGCTGAAAGTCTATCTAAAGAGTGGGAGAAGGGGGGCCAGAGGAAAGGCTAAGGCTGGTGTAGAAACATAGAGGGCCAAAACAGAAAGAGAGTGGGATGAAAGTTCAGACAAGGACTGATGTCTAGGGAGAAACAAACCAAGAAAGGTGCAGAGGACCAGACTCAGAGAGAAACAGACAGACCAAAGTCGAGAGAGAGAGAGAGAGAGAGAGAGAGAGAGAGAGAGAGAGACTCTGGGCCAGAAATGGAAACCTAGACAGAAACAGACATAGGAACTCAAGGGAGAGACAGATGGGCAGGCAGACCCAGGAGAAGGGGCAATGCCTGTCAATACAGGGAGGCCAGGCTGACCCTGGGAGCTGGAAGGGAGACTGTGCCAGGAATTGGGCTGAGACATCTGGCCTCCTGGGCTAAGGCTGAAGGCCCTCGGGCAGTTTCTTCTCCTGGGGAGTAGGGGGGAAGAGTCACAGGGAGGTGGCAATGGCAGCTGGCTGGCCTGGCCATGTGCAGAATGTGGAGAATGCCTCCCGCCTGCCCCGGCATGTCCCCCAGCGGAAGCAAATGCCTGGCAGGGGGCAGGAGCAGGCAAGCTGCCCAGCCGCCCCCTCACACCTGCTGCCCTGAGTGAGGGTCAGGCTCTGGCTTGGGTGGGCAAAAGGGGCCAGGACTACGCCTTCACTATGCTACTGGGCACTGTCTGCCCTATCTGGGCCTCCAAGAGAGAAGGCCCCAAGGTGCCACCTCCCAAGGGTTTAGGGAGGCCTATGGGAGAAGAACAAAAGGGCCTGATGGCTGGGAACCTGAGGGCAACCTGGATACCTCACATGGGTGTTGTCACAGAGGCGCGGCTCAGAACAGCCAGGACAGGCACTGGACAAGTTCTGACGACCAGGCAGCCTCCAGTAAGGGACCTCCCGCTTCAGTGAACCTCAGATTTCCCCTACAACGGGGCTGGTAATTCCTACTTCCCAGCATTGGGTGGATTCGATGAGATGACCCTACACCTGAGGATGGGCACATGGTAAACACTCAATAAAGAGTGGTTACCATTACTTCTTCATCATTATTATTGAGAGTGCTTAAGAGCCTGGGCTGTGGAGCCAGACAACATGGGTTTAAATCCTGCCTCTTCCTTATCATAGCTGGGTGACCTTGGGCAAGTCTTGGGGTGCAGTTTCCTCCTGTCTACTGAGAATAATGTGTCCTGACCTGTGAGGGTATGAGGATCCAGTGAGTAAATAGTCAGCACTTAGGAGTGAGCCAGGTACATGCATGGATAGTGCTCAATAAATTATTATTACTGTAATGTCTGATAGGAAGAATCCTGTGATCAGGAGACGGTTCAAGACCCAGTCCTGCTCCTCCCTGGCTGGGTGAACTCAGTCAGGACTCTTGTTCTGTTAGGGCCTCATTTTTCCTCATCTGGAAAATGTGGCAGGAACCCCTGCTGGACCTGCCCTTCTAGGCCTCAGGTTACCTGTATTAGTGCCATCCCTACCCATAAGGCAGCAGTAAGGTCATGTGAGATGATGCTATGAGGGCAATGTCTGGGGCTGTAGGCATGTGGGGGGTCAGGGGGAAAGGGTTAGAATCCTTCTGCTTCAGTTTCTTCATCTACCTAAGGACAGAAATCCCTGCTGTGCCCACTTCTGTGGAATTTTGCTCACGTAAACAAATGTAAAAACTGTAGGAAGTAGGGCAAAAAACACAGCTCACAACCTCAGTATAAGAGCATGAGGGGTAAGCAGAGGCCCTGTGTCCCTGTGCCCTGGCTCTGGGCTGGAGCTCTATGAGGGCAGGGCTGGAGCATCTTCCTACATTGGCCTCTCTACCCCAGCTCAAGCCACAGCAGCACCTTTCTTCCTGGCTCCCTGCCTCTAGAATAGCCATGGTCAGATGGGCTCAAAACCTTCCCTGGCTCCCTAGTGCCCTTGGGATCAAGTTCACAAATCTCATAAGGGCCCTCTATTATCTGCACCTTGCTCACCAATACAGTGGCATATCCCAACACTTGTCCTCTGTCTACAGCCAGTCTTTGCAGATTCAACTTCTTTCAAATACTTGCTTTCACCTCAAGGCCCTTAGCTTCTGCAAGTTCTCCTGCTGGCCTTGGTAGGCTCACTTCTGCACACCCTTCAGGTCTCACATTAGAAGCCCTTTGCCCCTCCAAGAAGTCCTCCCCTACTTCCCACAGCCTCCTGAGCCTTCCCCCATCCCTGCCCTGACCACTCTGGACAGTCACTGTCTGGGCAGTCTGTCTACACCAGGGATGGTGAGCCCTCTGAGGGCAAGGGCTATGTCCTCAGCACCAACCAGCACACCAGGACCAGGCACAGAGGGGGCTCTTAGTCAACAGTAGACTCGTAAGCAAGTAAGTAAAAGATACTAGGGAAGGGGCTGGTGATGGGTCTGTCACCCTCCCTGAGAGTTGCTCTGACAAGGCGCAGCCTGGCCTGGGCCCGTCTTTCTAGCACCATCTCAGAAATGCTACTCTCCCCACCCCTGGCCTCAGCCATCCAGACGCAAGGGCTTTCCCCAGCTGTGCTTCTGGCCTTGCAGCCTGCCTTCCCACTGGGGGCCTAAGAAGTTCTTTCGCACCACGCACCAGGGTTGCTGATTTCAATGCGGTTGCTGATTTTAATGCGTCCTTCAACTCTTGCCTTACGCACCCTGTCCTGAGGGCAACTAGATTCACACCTGGATTCAAACCAGGGCACAGTACCTAGTATACCCTCAGTTCCCCTCCAGGGCACTGACAGCACCTGTGATGTTTACCAGGCACCATGGAGAAGATGAGGCCTCCAGTCCAGGTCTTGCCACCTCCTGGCAGATGGACCTACTGAAGCCTGTTTTCCCATCTGTAACCAGCACTATGACCCAGTGGTCACAAGACAGCCTGGGTTTGAAGGCTGGTTCCAGGATTTACTAGCCACGTGACCTTGGGCAAGTTACTAACCTGAGCTCAGTTTCCTCTACAGGAGCATAATCATAGCACCCATCTGTTAGGGATGTTGTTAAGACTAAAGGAGCTAGTATTTGAAGGGGGCTTAGAACAGGGCCCGTATGTTGTTGAGTGCTGCATCATGGGATGGATGTAAGGGTTCGGTGAGATAACCCACACGCAGTGCTTATCATGGTGACGCCCCTACCAGTCCTCCAGACATGGAAAATGTCATCATGGTTACCCCAACGGCTCCACTCAGGAGTGGTTCCATGGATCTCTCCAGAGTACATTCCTTACAGGAGGCCTCTGGAAACACTGCATTGAGCCTCCCAAGTCCAATCCCTTGCCTGACACATGAATTCCCACTGGAACATCTGTGCAAAGAGGCCAGCCTCCCTTTGAATCCCTCCCCAGGCGGGAGCTCACCTCTCAAGAGCCACTTCGAAAGTGGCTCTGTTCAAAATGAGCCCTCACCCAGCCCATCCACGGCACCTCTTCTTACCTGTCCCAGGCCGACCCATGATGACTTCCTTCTTGGGGGCAGGGTGGCTGGTGTAGCTGCTGGGCACCAGGACGGGCAACAGGGCAGCAGGTGAGGGGTGGAAGGCAACCGGCTGGAAGGGCGAGGAAGCCAGGCCAAAGGTGGGCATCGGCTGGGCCACAGCGGTCGGTGCAGCTGGAGGCACGGTTATGGGTACAGGGGCTGGCAGAGGTGGGGGCAGGCCAGGCTTCCCACTGGCCACCCCAGGGGGCACTGGGGTCTCTCGGCAGCCCCGCCCAGGTCCTACAGCTCGAGCCTCCCCAGCAGTGCCCACCTCCCCAGGGAATTTGGAAGGTAGTGGCACGTCAGGGTTTCGGACAATAACAGGTGAGTCCCGTTGCACAGCAGGCACCCTACGCACAGAGGGTCCAGGATCCGAGGTCAGGCCAGCAGGTGGGGGCAGCAGCAGCAATGGTGAGGGCTGACGAGAACGGGAGAAGGGCACGGCAGGCGACACAGCCCGGAAGCCAGCCGGTGTGGAGGGTGTAGGTGTGTGGGACACAGAGTCCACACCAGAGTCTAGGCTGTCACTCTTGGGGAAGTCTGGGGCAGCTCCTCCACCCCCTGTACCAGGGGCTCCCAATGCCCCTGGGTGAGGCAGCAGCTCTGTCTTCCGCCGCCCAGGGCTGATGGGCACGGTGAAGGTCAGGTTGGTCTGGAAGGTGGGTAGGATGCCAGAGGAATGCCTCTCTCGAGGAGCAGGTGGTGGGGGGTGGGGGCCCAGGTCTGGTGGTGTGAGCACCCCTGCTTTAGGAGTACTGGCGCTCAGGTGGCGACTGCGAACACCAGTGCGTTGGATGACTGGCGACGCATTGATGGGGCTGAAGTTGGCTGGACGAAAGCCGAAGAGTGGCGAGGGTGAGGGTGAGGGCGCTGGTGAGAAGGGCGATTGCGTAGAGACCGGGGAGAAGGAGGGTGTGCCTGAGCGGGAGCTGCCCAAGGATACCAGCATCACTGCTGCCTCACACTCGTCAAACTCAAAGCGTGACAGGTCAGCGGGGGCTACCAGGCGTGGGCGTGAATCTCCGCGGGCTGCCACACTGCTGGCCTCACTGTCCCTCGATGTCTCATCGCCCCAGTCGAATTCGGTGCTGCCCTCACGAGCTGCCACACCGGCAGGCCGCCCAGCCCCACCTGGGCCACTGTCAGCCAGGCCCTCCATTTCCTTGGTTCGCATGGACAGGTGGCGGGAGCAGTAGCCCCGCCGCTGCGACTCCTTCATACAGCCATCTCGTGAGCACAGCCGCCGCCACTGCTTGCCATTGAATTTCTTGCGAATTCCATTAGGTGTGCAGACCACATCACCCTTCTTGTACTTCTGCTGGGCAGCTGTCAGTGGTGTGCGGGCACGGGTGGCCGGAGCGGCCCCCTTCTCCAAAGAGGCCACACTGCTGCTACGGCTGCCACCCTGACTCCCCTCCTGGCAGGGTGAGGGCTGCTCACCAGGGCGACCTGGGCCTGCAAAGGCTGGGGATTTGGGTGGCGGTGACAGGAGCTGGGGTGGGGGCAGTGGGAGCAGGGCTGGGGTGCCCTGGACTGGCGGGTGCTTCTCCTCACCCTCCTCACAAGCCCCCAGATTGCCACCAAAGCTGATCTTGGAGACCTCAGCATCCTCAGGCTGCTTGGGGTCCAGGGCAGCAGGGCAGGGTGGCACGGTGGTCCCTGATTCGGCCTGCTCTTCCTCGGGGCCTGTGGGGGGCTTCCTCAGAAGAGCCTCAGGTTCCCATGGGGGCCTAAGCAGGCGAAGGCTGGAGCGGGCCACCCATATGGCCTCCTCAGGCTCACGATGTGATGGCTGCGACGGCTGTGAGAGGGTGACTGGGGGGCCTGGCTGGGAGCCAAGACCAGGGCTGAGACGGACTTTGTAGGCAGCTGGCTTGGTAGCCACCTCCACCACCACACCCTCACGGTAGGCAGCCACCCCAGGCTCCACACAGGTACAGACAGCTGTGCCCACCACGAGCGTACCTGGTGGTGGCGTGGCATCCAAAATCACATCTACACCACCACTGGGTGCCCCCTCATAGAAAGTCAGGGCCCGGTCCCCAGGAAACTGCACACCCAAGTCCTGGCTTCGCCGTACCTGGCGTACCACAGCTGGCAAGAAGAGGCCATCCCCACGTCGCGCCAGCACCCGCTGGGATCGCAGCTGCCGCAGGTCATAGCTCCCACTGGTGCCACCCAGGGGCCAGGCCCCTGGCCCACAGCCTTCGGCTGGCTCATCCTCCAGGTCAGCTGAGTGCTCGCTGGCTGTGTCAGTGGAGGAGGAGCGGGCGGAGGTGGGTGGCTGTGGAGGGACACCGAGGGCGCCAGCTTCCTCAGGGGTTGCTGCCCCTGCCCGCTCTTCAGGGGCCCCAGCTGCCCCACTGCTGCCACTGCCAGAACCATGCTCCTCCACATACTTCTTCTTGGGCGCTCGTGACTTGAATGTGGCTGTCTTTCGGCTGAGGGGGGGCTCCCAGCGGCCTGCCTCACCCTCTCCCTTGGGGTCCTCGGCTGGGCCTGGGGCCGCGTCATCAGGGTGCAGCTCTAGGGGGAGCCCCTCAGCCCCTGAGCCCTGCTGGGCCTCCTCCTCCTCACCCTCCTCGGCCTCTTCTGGGCCCGGTTGCTGCTGTACCTCATCGTCCTCTTCCTCTGGCTTGTCACCCTCCCCAGCCCCTCGCCGCCTCAGGGCCTTTGCCCTAGTGGCTGGTGGGGACTTGCCTCCGCTGCCAGGACCTGGGAGGCCAGTGCACGCCTTCTTCATTGGCTTCATCTCTTGTCTACCTGCAGGGTAGAAGGGCAGAGAAAGGTCATCGGGAGCAACTCAGGCATCCCCCAGACCTAGTTTCCCCCAAGAGTTCCTACTTGCTAAGGCCCCCGCTTCCACTTCATAATCCCTGAGGCCTCCTTCCTGGCTGTCCCCAACTCACAATGGGCCCCTGACCAGTAACCAGACTCAGAGTGGCACCCATGTTCCATGAGCTATTTACTCTGGCTCCGCGGGGACACTCACATACATCTGCTCCCTCTGCAGAGGACACAGAAGACACGTGCACACATTCTGACTGCTCCAAGACGACAGAAGAAGCAGTAATGGTTCAAGCCTCTGGAGCACTCTTTGTGCCACCCCTGGGCTAAACTTGCCTTTATTAACCATTTCATCCTCACAACAGCCCTAATAAGCAAAGGTCACTAACTGCCCCATTTCACAGTTGAGGAAACTAAGGCACAGAGAAATCGAGCAACTTGTCCAAATTCATCTAGCTATGAAACAGAGAGCTAGGGTCTGAACCCAGGCGATCTGGCTCCAGAGTCTGTCTTCGTAACCATCTCAGTGTGCCGCCTGTCACATGATCCAGAGGGCACGCTTCCTTGCACTGTCACTGTCCACAGAGCACACACACACACACACACACACACACACAGAGTCACAGAAAGGGAGGTGATTGGGCTGTGATGTGAGCCTCTCTCCACCTCGCCCCCCCCCATCCCTTTGAGCAGCCTGGCATAGCCAGGCACTGTGGAAAGGAGTGGGCAGCTGAGAGTCCCGAGGAACGGCTGCCCACTCTGCTCTGCACCCCAGTCCTGCCAGGTAGAGCCATCTCTCCATATCCTGGCAGGGAGCAGGCAGGGGCACGTCTGAGGCAAGAGCTCATACCCAACACTGCCACAGGGCCGCGTATGAGCACACACACGCACACAAACATACACACACAGGCACACACACGTCATCACACAGTGGGACATGGAGCTACACCCCAGGGTTTCGCTGTCCCACTGAATAGGAGCCTGCCCTCCCCCACAGTACCCAGTGTGATACCCACAGGCCAGCCCCCCTCTTCTGGCCTGCATGCATCCCCACCCTGGCTGGGCTGGCTGGACCAGCTCCCGCAAGGTGGCTGAGCCGGCCAGGCTCCCCTGACCCCAAATGTGCCCCTTGACTCCAGGTGGGGGTAAGTGGGAGAAGGTCAAAGAAAGCAGGACAAGCCCAGCTGGCCAACCTCACCCACTTCCTGAACAGTCATTACTGCCCGCCCCCTTTCCAGATACCCTGAGAAAAGAAAAGGGAAAAAAACTTTACTCTGAAGTGACTAAGAGAACCTGAGAAGCTGAAAGGGGGCCTTGGTGGTGGGGTGGGGGTAGGAGGTGTTGAAGAAGCCCAGGACCATAAACCAAACGTAATTAGAGGCACCCCTAAATCAAGTCTTCAGGAACTTGACCTCATGCTCTCCTATTTGAGGCCTGCTGCTCCTGTGGACCCTGTAGTCGCAGGCTGCCCCTTCCCAGGACCAATCCTGCAGTCATCATAGGCAGAGCCTGGAGGGGCTGGGACTTCTCAAACTGAGGAAGGTACCCAAGTGCCCAAGAGTTGGGCAGCCACCACCACCTTCTCCCCTCTGACCCACTAAGTCACCAATCTGGGGGCTGAAATCTGGCTCCAGTCCTGCCCAAACACAAACCTGTGCATACTCCGCCAGGGCCTACAACAGCACGGCCTGGCACCCCTGGACCCCACTGCCTGGTGCAGCCTCTCCAGCCCAGAAGCCAAGCCTCTTTCTTTTCTCTGGGGCCTACTCTCTTCCTGTCCACCCCTCTCTGGATAACTCCCACCCAGGGCCCTGTGGACCCTCACCCCCATTAGAATCGAAGCAGTAACTCCTGAAGCCCTGGCCAGCCCAGGCCCTGACCCTTCAGGGTCTCATGCCCTTTGCTCCCATCAGCCCTTCTGGCACCAGCTTCTCTGCTACTTTCTCTCCCATCCTGTCACCACCTCTCTCTCTCTCTCTCTTCACAGGCCCTTAGTCACTACCCCCCCTTACCATCCTCTTCTACCTCTGTCACCTCTTCCTCCCAGTCACTCTCCTGTCAGCCATCTCTGGACCTGCCACCTTCTCTCCCCATCACCTCTCCTTGTCACCCCCTCCAACTCTGTCTCTTCCCTCTCCCTGTCACCCTGTTCTAGTCCTGTCACCCCTCCATCCTGTTGTTACCATTCTCTGCACACCACCCTCTCCTAGTCACCTCTTTTCTGTTCCGCCTCCTACCCACAACTTCCTCCACTCTGTCCACCCTTCCCACCATCCCACCCACCCTTTTTCCCCGTTACCCCCTCCCCGTCCCTGCCACCTGTCCCCTCTCGCTCCCCAGCACCCCAAATACACCCTGCAGGTGTCAGCCCTGGACCCGCCCCTCACCTTGGGCTCGGCGTGGTTTCGGGGCGGGGGGCCGTGGCCCCGGCTTGGTCCGGTCCGGTCCCTCCCCGCCCCCCCTCCGGCTCTCCCTCTCGATTCTCCCTTTTTTTTTTACTCCAACACACAAAATGGTGAATGGACCTGCAACAGCTGGAGCAGCCAGCCAATCAGCGGCCACAACCCCGCTGACCGGCGCCGTCCTAGACCAATAGATATTCGCAGCCTGGTCAGCTCCGCCTCTCGACGACGAGCGACGCTCCCCACGACCAATCGCGCCCACACGGCAACGCTAAAGGGTGGAGCCAAAGTCTAAGACCGGCCTCCCTCTGGGACCGACACCAACCTGAACCTACGACTGCCTGATATGCCTAGGGCCCTGCCCCACAACCAGTGATTGACACTAGCACTGGCCAATTAAAGGCCGTCTCAATGCCGAATGACAAATACAGTATCCAGTCATTTTGCACTCTAAGCCGGAACCCAGCCTTTGTAAGGGACAGTAGCCAATGAAATGCAAAAAGGAGGGGCTAAGGAACCGGCTCTCCAATGAGAAGGACTAGAAGGCGTGGCCTGAGCGTTTGTTGACCGGCTAGTCGCAGTTCCTGCTGGGAATGGTAGTCTTCTTACGTCTCTGGCCCATAGTCCACAGTACAAGGCAGACTACAACTCCCATGTGTCAGGGTGACTGAAGCACCAAAGAACCCGGGGGAAGAGAAAAAGTCGGAAAGGGCAGTTTCTCGTGAGTCTCACTGGACACCAGGAGCATCTTAGACCCAGGGCCCCGACTCACCCGGATTGCCGGCTCTGGCGTCGCCGGTGGCTCCTCTCAGCAGCGGCGGTAGCGGCACGAGGGGGAGGTGCGAGGAACAGCCAACCGCCACCCTCAAGCCCCGCGGCCAATCAGCAGTGTCCGGGGCGGTGCAATGACCTCACCGGGTTCTACTCTCTTGCCCCTCCCCCACGTGGTTTTTGCTGCTGGTAGTCGGGAGTAGGAAAGTTTGGGGTGGGGGAGGGGAAGAGAAAGAGTGATGTCACCTTTCCCTCGCTTGATTGGCTGTCGGGTGGCCGGGACTTCGACCAATCAACAACCTCAGAAAGTCTGGCGCGGCCCCGCGGAAAGCCCTGTTGCCACCGGGAGGGGAGAGAACGTGCGTGTGTGGGGTGGCGCGCGCTGCAGTGTAGTCAACTCACGCGGTCTGGGATTTGGGGGCCCCGGGGACAAGTTCCCTCCTCCAAGACTTTGACATTTAATGGCAATGCAGTTTTCTGACAGCCCTCCTAGGCATGGAGTGGGGAGCACGAAAAGGGGCTTCACACTGCATTCCGTGGAGAGCTTCACCTTGTGGGTGTTCACATCTTACGAGAACAAGCTTTTTTAAAGGGGGGGTTCACCCTGGGAAGGAGAGAGGTAAGCCCTGTCAGTAGTAGATTCCTGCTGCCCAGATACGGGGTTTACACCAGGTGTCTGTAGTGCATCCATACTCTGCACATGGATTTGCCCTGGATAGAGACGGGATGGGGAGCAACAAACACTGGCCGTGGGGGAGGCGTCTTCCGCCGCGTTAGGTTCCCAGTGTGAGCACGGGATTCACACCGGGTGTGAAGAAAATGCACCCAGCCTGTTGCAGTGCCTACTGTCTGACACTGGCACTCCCCTTGGGAGTGTGCTGTGCACGCTGGGTAGTGTTGAGTCTGAGGAAAATGACCCTCTCGAGAGTTCCCGCTGCTAACTTAGGTAGACCTTTGGAGAGAGTTGTTCATGCTTTCACCAAAGGGGTTCACGGCAGCCACAGAAAGTTACCCATGCATGGTGATAGGCATTGTCCTCGTTAATGTTGGCATGAGTATGAAGGAGATTACACTGTAGCCCAGCCGGTGTGGCACAGTGGTTGAGCGTCTTCCCATGCACCCAGAGGTTGCAGGAGGCGGCTGATCAATGTTCTCTCTCAATGATCTTTCTCTCTCTCTCCGTCTCCCTTCCTCTCTCTCTAAAATCAATAAAGAAAAAAAAACTTTTTTTAAGAGATTACACTGTACCTGGAGAGGCACATACTGAGCAGAGGGTTCACATTGTGAATGGGAGTTGACTGTGTTGGGGAGATATTTCCATTGATTAGGATGGTGTTTCATGTTACCCAGTTAGTTCAAATCAGGTTTGAGAGTTAGATTGTCAGTGGGGTGGTCTGTACTCTCCACGGAGGAACTTACCCTGCCCTGGGGAGCAGTCTGCTGTAGTGAAAGGGGTTTCTGCTGTCTGTTGCAGATCGCCTTTGGCTGTGGTGTGTTTAATGTCCACAGAGGGATCCCCATTGTTTATGCATGTGACAGAGTACACCATGCATGAAAGAGACCCACCTGTGGGAGTTCACACTGTTCAAGGCCTATTTCCCCTGTCATTTAAGAAAAGTATGGCCCTGGCCGGTTTGGCTCAGCAGTTAGAGCGTCTGCCCACGGTCCAGGGAGACCTGGGTTCGGTTCCCGCTAAGGGCATGTACCTCGGTTGCAGTTTGTCCCTGGTCGTGCTGGTGGCAGCCACTCGATGTGTCCTTTTCACGTTGATGTTTCTCTCTCTCTCTCTCTCTCTCTCTCTCTTTTCCTCTCTCTCCCTCCCACTCTATCTGAACAAAAAATGAAAAAAAAATGTCCTTCAGGTGAGAATAAAAAAAAAAAAAAGGAAAGTGTGCACAGGGAGCTGTATCCTGCCTCTGGTAAGTTTACACAAAATGTTATTAATTTAGTTATACAGCTAATTGAAATTATAATCATTTTGGGTGGGGAGATGATGTTGCAGGAAGTAGGATAACACAGGTTTACCCAGGTTGCTGGGGTCAAATCCAGCTGGGCTTCTCCCAGCTACATGACCTTGGGCAAGTCATTTAATCCTTCTGTGCCTGGATTTCTACTTTTGTTTTTTGTTTTGTTTCTTTTTTTATCCTCACCCGAGGACATTATTTTTACCCGAGGATATTCTTTTTTTGCATTTATCTTCAGATAGAGTGGGAGGGAGAGGGGGGGTGAAGAGAGAGAGAGAAACATTGATGTGAGCGAGTGGCTGCCACCCACCCGACCCCAATTGGGGCGGGAACAAACTGCAACTGAGGTACGTGCCCTTAGCGGGAACCGAACTCGGGAATCTCTGGTCTGTGGGCCAATGCTCTAACTAACCACTGAGCAAACGGCCAGGGCTGGATTTCTACATTTGTAAGGGGTTACTTTTTTTTTTTTTTAACCCTACAGCATAGGGTTGTTATGAAGATGTAATGAATTAACATGTGCAAAACATTTAGGACAATGTCTCCAGCAGAATAAATCCTCAAACATGTTAGCTATTGTGGTTATTGTTATTCACAAGGAGTTTATTTCTACCTAAAGAGCTTATGCTGTCACAGTCTTACACATAACCTTGTCCTAGTTTGTTTGTGCTATGGTAGTGGTGGTAGTGGTGCATTTTGGAAGGATTCCAGGGTTCAGCATATCTGTGGGGTATTTATCAATCAATCAGGAAGCATTATGGTCTAGTGCTTGATGTCCCAGCTGTAAAGATTTTTAGCTGTGTAACCTTGGGCCTGTAACCTCTTTCTTGGTCTCACTCCGCTCATCTGAAAAATGGGCAACAATAGAGTACCTTCTTCATAACTGAGGCAAGGATGACATGAGATGTTGAATCGAGAGCCTTGCATGTAGTAAGTGCTCAATAAAAGGAATTCACCATTTCTTTGCCTTTATTAAGGGCCACATTGTCCATAACAACGTATACCACCCTTCAGGGAGTCATCTGTCCTAATATGTGTGTTGAAGGGGAATTGGGTAACTTTTTTTTTTTTTCAGTGTTTTTTTTTTCAATCTTCACCCAAGGATATTTTTCCATTAATTTTTTCAGATAGACAAGAGAGAGGGAGGGAGAGAGAAACATTGATGTGAGAGACACACATTGAATGGTTGCCTCCCACAGGACCTCAACTGGTGATCGAACCTGCAACTGAGCTACTTGCCCCTGACCAGGAATTGAACCTGCCACTCTTCTGTCCAGAGGCGGATGTTCTAATTGCTGAGCTAAACAGGCCAGGGTAGAATTCGGTAACTTTTTATGAGAACATTAAGATATTTTGTTAGGGGTCATATAATATTATGAAGGTTACAAAGGTCCGGAGGGTTTAAGTGGAAGGTGGGTATAGGAAAAGGCTATATTATCCATGACTTAATAAAATGGATATAGTGCCCGGCCGGTGTGGCTCAGTGGTTGAGTGTCAACCCACTCCCCAAAAGGTCCCTGATTCGATTCCTGGTCAGGGCACATGCCCAGGTTGTGGGCCCAATCCCCAGGGGGTGGGGGACATGCAGGAGGCAGCCAATCCATCTTCCTCATTGATGTTTCTATCTTTCTCTCCATTCCCCTTACTCTATCTCTAAAAATCAATAAAGAAAAAAATTTTAGCCCTGGCCGGTTTGGCTCAGCAGTTGGAGCGTCGGCCTGCGGTACAGAGAGACCCGGGTTCGGTTCCTGCTAAGGGCACGTACCTCGGTTGCAGTTTGTCCCCGGCCCTGGTTGGTCGTGCGGGTGGCAGCCACTCGATGTGTCCCTTCACATCAATGTTTCTCTCTCTCTCTCTTCTTCTCTCTCCCTCCCGCTCTATCTGAACAAAAAATGTCCTCGGGTGAGAATTAAAAAAAAAAAAAAAAAAAAAAAAAAAATTTTAATGGGCATAGTGACATTAGGGTTTATTGCACCCACTGGTGAGTCTACACTCTCATAGAGTAGTCTACCACAGCAGGGGGCACAATATCCATGGGTTATACTGTATGAGGCCACTGACTATGGGGCTCCCCTGTTCACAGGAAGAGTCACACTGCTGATGGAAGTGACCCTGTTTATATGACTGTCACAGGGGGTGCATGCCCAGGTTACTGGAGTTGACCTTGTTGACAGAGGAATTCACGCAATGTTAAAGAAGTCATGCTGTCTGGGTGGTAGAGCACACTAACAAGGGAATATGCCTTGAGAGGACACGCATTGTTTATTGCTGTCTCCCCACCTATCTGGGGCTCACGCTGATTATGAG